CTTACGTAGAAAAGTCTGCGCAGTGCTAAACGAAGCTCTCTTTCTGTCTCGCTCTCAAAACTGCACCGGCAGGTCGACCTTTCTCTCTCTCTCTCTTCTCTCTTTCTCATTCTTACTGCAGCGAGAGAGAGAGAGAGAGAGAGAGAGAGAGAGAGAGAGACGAGCGCGGATAATCTAAAGTGCCAAATTAGCAGCTCGGCGGAACAGCGTTCTTCACTTAAGACTTTTGGATAACGCGCGCCAACAGGCCATGCATCCGTCCGCCCGTATATATACCATATACACTCGGCAGTCCAGTGCGCGCTGCAGTAAGCGCTATGCAGCTCCAACTGCTCGCGATCTCGCTCGACGTTCCAACCTTGACAAATTTTTTTCCCTTCTTTTGGAATTTCACTTATACACTTTGATAAGCACGGGAGCCCGGACGTTGCAAAGATATAATCGGTATGCGCGTGTACGTGTATTTTCGACGCTAGAGTAGCAGGCGGCGGAAGAGTATTGTTAGCCACTAGCGTAGACAGCGCACGTGTCAATTGAAGCCACCGATAGGTTGAGCCATTGGCCGTATAGTTTTGGAAATTATATATTTGCTTTGTGCGGGGTATCTGAAAAGCGGAGCCAAAGAGATGATATTGAAGCCGCGTTAATCGCTCTACGACCTGATCCAGTTACGACCCGAAGAGTCGGAGCTGAATAACGAAGATTTATATAAAATTTGTTTAGCGGCTACAGGCCGTGATGGGCATAATCGTATCTGCAGTATTTTTTGTTCAATGCGAATGAATGTTTTACACTATTAATATTATATTGGTCAAATAAATAAATGTAAAAAATGAGCTTCAAGTTTTATACTGATAAAGATACCAATTGTTTGAAGTAAAAGATCCCAAATCGAAACGGTTCAAATACTCGAAACTCAAAAAAACTGAGCACCCATCAATAAACTCAAGTACCCCCAAATGTTTCCGGATACTCGCACATCCCTATTAGATACATCGTCGTCAAAATTGCCCTTGTAAGTTAGCTACATCATCGAATCATGCACAGAAAACGTATATCGCGTAACATAGCCTCCTATACATGTCTTTTACGCGGAAAACTGCGGCTTTTGTGAACTCGTGTTCATCCCGCGCGATCGTTGCGCGCGTGTATTCAGTATTTAAAATGTAAAATAAAGGATCCTCGTATTATATACAACCTGCAGTGTATGTCTATGTGTGTAGCTGGATCGAGTCGAAGAGAGAAAGAGAGAGAGAGAGAGAGAGAGAACAGCTCGAGGAGGCCAAGAGAAACAAGGAGATAAAAAGAAAAGATCCGAATTCTCGAGATAAGGATCGAACTCGAACGCCCGCGCAGGTAAACCTATATAGTGCGGCAATGTACTGTGCGCGGTGATCGTCAGGTACCTACACCATATACCTATATCGTATAGAGCGCGCGATTCGTTTTCTCTTTTCTTATTATGCATAGAGGGATTTGCGCTTTGCTCCTTTTTTTCCTCTTTCTTGCTTTCAGCTCTTCTTCTTCTTCTTCTCCTTCTTCGGTGCTTGCCGCACAAGAAGATACTGTCTTTCTCTCTTTTTCTATACGCGTTCATGGCTTGTTTAGTCTCTCCTCGCTCTCCGTGTACTGTCTGCACTCGCGTGGATTAATATTGTCTTTATACTTTTCTCATTCCTTCTCTCTCTTTGAACTTTGTCGTCGAACTAAAGGTACTCTCATAAGCCAACAATTTTGCCTTTTTCCAGCTTCTCGTTGATCATTTGAAGAAAAAAAAAATTGATTGAATTTGAAGCAATTGCATTACGTATCGCAAGCTCGATTGAATCAACGCGTCTCTCAAGTCCTCTCATCGGCATTAATCGACATAATAGTATACAGATGCCCGAACGAGAAGCAAACATCGACAAAAAAATAATTCAATCGCAAAATCCGCGAATCACGATCGATTTTTACTTTCGACGCATAATACACATATAATAATAATATATAATACCGAGTTAGCTGCAGCCGCGGACGTCCTCGCAATGTACACCTTGTTTTCTCTCTCTCTCTCTCTCTCTCTTTCTCATTCCCCTCATCTGTCTCGCGAATTATTTCCATTCCACAAGTCATTCGTCCCGCGCGCGCATACACACTTTTTCTCATCATCCTTATATACACACTTATTACTTACCAGCTATGCCATGTCCGAAACTTTTGGCTCGGGGATGTTTCCTTTTTTTACGCCTACCCGCGTAGCAGCAGTAACAGCAGCAGCAGCAAATATATAAGACGGCCATGACGTTGCTGTTATGCGCCGTATACCTTTTTTTTTTTATCTCAACTCTCCGCCTTGAAATTTTCGTAGAATAAATATCGAAGACGCTGCCGCTCTGTTGCTGCGCTCGGGAAATGCAATTAGTGCGTGTGGACAAAAAAACTAAAAAAAGACAAGAAATGAATTGAAGTACTGATTCAATTATCTTTTAACGAACGGATATATTAATATTCCGAAATTTTTCAAAGCAATCGCGAGAACAATTTTATCCTATGTATAATGTAACATCGTATCAAATTCGAGAAAATAGTGTGAATGGCGAATTTCCGTTTTCCAGAAATTTAGCTCGTCGACGAGATCAGTCGTACTGGCCTACAAAAATATTACGTTTAATCGCGCCCGTACAAAAGGATAAACGCTCGTGACGATGATTGCCAAGAATGTCGAATGCTGCGCTCATGTGCGCTGTTGTATATATTGTGTACTTTAAACGCGTGTCCCATTGTGTAAAAGCAACGTACATAAGTCGCGAACAAAAGATTATAATATTGGCTAGCTGTACAAACAAAACGACGAAAGAAGCGAGCTGCAGGTAACTCGAGATGTAATGCGTCAAATTCAGCCTGCTCATTTGATCGTAAAATTATTAATAACGAGCTTAAAAAGAAAGTGAGAGGTATTATAGGGTCAGCTGCTATTATTCGGAGGAAATGCGTAAATACCGATCTTTGGGATTCTGAACTATTTGGAGGTATATGTTTTGCCGATACATAAAGTATTGCGTCACGTACCAACGATATTATATTGTTCGATAGTCATCGCGATGTATAATGAATATGTATTCTAAGTTGTGTGCGACTCTTTTGCGACAATATATGTATATTACTTGTGTAGGTATACCATACATTGCCTCTAGCGTATACGGCACAACGAGGAACTTTATGTCGAGCCGCAAAAAAAAGTCGTCGAGCGAGGGGGTCCATATGCTGCTGCGCTACGAGAGAGATAGAGAAAGAAAGAGTGAGAGAATCGAAACATATAAAAATGATCGAAGAGACGACGCGGCAAACGAGATATATTCACGACTCCCCTTTTTTCGAGTATATGGACACAAAGTTGCGGACCTTCGGCATAAATTAATGCAAAGATCAATTCGAGATCGTAAGATGTCTATAATGCAAATACACACGCTATATGCTAAAAAACTATAGGCAAATTCTTCATAAAAGAAAAGAGAGGAAGATCGGTGGACTTTGGTTGACCAGCTAAAATATATAGAATGCACGATTTATTTGCCACGGGCACGCTGCGGCGACGCAACGTTTTTATCGTTTTTTTATTACGTTTCCGTAGCCTATTCTCTTGGACCGAACGACTAAAAAATTTGTCAAAATTTCGTAAATATTTTTTCTCTCTCTTTCGTTATTGGGGACGCAATATGTCGATATATAAGATAACATAAAATACGAACAATTAGTTGATGAACGAAAATGCGAGACATAAAAGCTCGTGTATATAAGGTACAATATAATTTCAGCTATTTTTGGGATCCTATTTCCCTGAATTAATAAAGTCTGACAATCGTAACTTTTCTGTGTTTATAATTATTTTCACGAAGAAAAAGCGAAGAAAGGCTATATAGCTTTTATACACACACGCATATGTGCACAAATACACATGCATATCACCCACGCTCAGTCGCGCCGGCGTCGTCCTCTCTCTCTCTCTCTCTCGCGAGCTGCAAAATCCAAAAACAAACGCGTATGCGTATTATACGCATTGACGTTTATTTGCACGACGTCTGCGCGTATATATATGCGTTTATATAAGATATATATGTGTATAAGCTCGCTCGCGATCGTGAAAAAGGTAAAAATAGATTTTGCGCAAGGCTAAAACAGTCGAAAAGAAAGAAAATAAAATTTAAGCGAGCGAGACGTGCGAAGTGAAATGGAGCGCGAGCGCACATCGTTGCAATCGTACATTCAGACATGCAAGATCGATTTTAATCAAAGAAGGGATCTTTAAGCGACCTTGAAAAAAAAATTATTTCGAGCTTATTTCATGGGGTATGTCGTCCCGAAGCGCACCGAGCTTTTTTGCTTACACGCAGCTTTCCGATTGTGCTTGCCCTGGCTACCCGAATCAAATGACCCGAATGGTCATTGCAAAACGTAATTCGGGTTGACGCGGAGGGACCCTTTAAGCCAACAATGAATCGCCTCGTGGATAAATAAATAAATATCGGCGTATAGGCGCCGGGGGGCGCGTGCTTATAATATACAGTAAAGTTTTCTGGCACACGTGCAGCAACAGCAGCAGCATAGGCTAGCTAGCAACAGCAGCGTGAGCAGCTATATTACAAGTGGCTGGCGGCGCTATATAGGCGCCACTACTGGCGCGCCCCTCTTCTTTCTTGCGCTCAGACCGCAAAGTAAACTGACTCACGGTTGGCGACGAGAGCTCCGGCGCCCTGCCTGCCTGCCTGCACTCGCCGCATATACACTAATACACAAACACATCTATATATATATGCGCGCAGCAGCAGCACAACACATGGCGTGCTATACGCTACACTGAGTTTCATACACGCACACACACACACACACTAACACAGGTACACAAATCGGCGCTTTGCGAAACGAGCGAAGAGAGAGAGAGAGAGCGAGAGAAACGAAAGAAACTAGCCAGGCAGCATCGCCGCCGCCAGTTACCAGACAGTCGCTTCGGAGCGCTTGACTCGTGAGCGTCGCGCGTACACACACGTTGTCGATACAAATAAAATATCGTGTATATGATCGTTGAGTGTGTGACGGAGAGAGAAAGAGATAATGATACCAACCGATCGCCGGTGAATTTGGTGAAACGATTTTTCAGCTTTTCTTTCCTCCCGTCGTATACGTCTCGTGTGCAGAGTTAGGCGATTTGACAAGTGCATAAACGTCTCTCGGTTATACCAAGATTGGTGCTACATGAAATTTCTTATACATGAACCGGTGTCTTACATAGTGCCTATAATTTTTATAATATACATCATTCACAGTGCATCGTGATCGTCGATATATATTACTTCTAAGCAGGCAGAAGCGATCGTGAGTGCTTAAAGGGGGAAGAAAAAAACAACCGGCAAACGAGCACACATAAGAAAAGGGAGAGACAAAGAGTCGACGCAAAGAACGAAAAGGAGAGAATCAAAGGCGAAGAGAGAGAGAATCGCAGAAAAAAAGGGCTAGTGTGTCTGTTTTGGTGCGCGCGTGTGTTTCTCCTGTTTATGCTATAATTCCACACGAACGAATATATAATATATATACACGCGCTTATATATATATACTTCGGCGTCAAAAGAAGAAAAAAAAAGAGGAGCAAAAAGAGCGAGATGGTGCCACGAGAGTTAATCTGTTTGTTGGCGACGTTGAGCGTCGCGACGGCTGCTGTTACTGCTGCCGCTGCCGCTGCTGCTGCTGCTGCAGCCGAGCTGCCGTCGTCGTCGATCGACTTCGATCTCGCCGCGGATTACGACTCGATCGCCGATAACGACGATTTGACAGGTAGGCCACTACAGATGATTGATATAAATGCCTGTTACATGATAAAATGACATTACTGCTATATGTATACAAAACAAATTGCCATCGGCGCGCGCGCGCGCCGCTTCTTCATACCAATTGACTACGAATTATTTATTTTATTACCGATCGGAGAATATTAGCTGCATTGCAGCCTATGGTTCTTTTGCAAAAGATGTAAACATCGTGTCATGCTCATTAGATACGCGTATAATAATACAGTTGCAGTACCATGACATATACGGATGACTTTTGTGCACTCGACTCGTTTTCCGAGATGATTTACGCGCCGCGCTTATATATGCCTCGAGAGTCGAACCTCCTCCCGCGCACGTTTGCACCGATCGTGCGAATAGTTATACACTCGCCTCGCTGAAGTACATCACAAGTGTGCCAAAGTAGCACAAATAGTAATATGCACACAGACGTTCTCCAACACGGGCGCCCGAGAGATGAGAGAGACAGATACTTTGTTGCGCGCTCCATTATGGCTTTAATAACGCGTGTTGGCAGTGGCGCTCGCGCTAATTGTTGTTGCCTGTGCACATGCACCGACGTTATTATTATGCATATAATATGCGCGCTACATCAGGCACGACTCCCACAGTGTTAGTTCTACTACTCTACATTAAATATAATACGCGACGATCTTTACTTTGACTTTTGGCTCGTCCGAGCTCGCCGATTTATCTTTTCCTTCTCTCGAGACTCGTTTTCGTTCCCTGCGCTCGTGTGCGCGCACGTTACGCTTGCATGCGATACTTTACGCTCGACAAAGGAAAAAGATAATTATTGTCGTCGTCGTCGTCGTCGTCGTCGTCTTCGACGTCAAGCTACCGACAAAACACGAAACTTTGTCCGTTCGCTCTGGCATTAGCCTTCATTTCCATCGCGCAAGGCTTCGATTATAGACTTATGTATACGTTTGAATAAAACTTTTTTTTTCCGGAATCGGTGCCGGTTTTTTTCATCTTTATATATATTTAGAATAAATTCGAGGGTCTCCCGACGCCGAATACGCCCTCCTGTAAAGACGATCGGGCGCACATGTAGCTCGAGATACACTTGGGGTACCCGAATAGTCGTATCGTTTATATAGGTGTATAAAAAAATACTTGAAATTTAATGCAGATTTCATGTAAAATCGTATATTACAATTGAAGTAATCAATACTGCATTTCACTTATTACATTAAGTTTTGGTTGAAAATTAATTTTCAGTACAGATTTTTTTACATAAATGTCACATAGAAGGCAAGAAAATGCAATCATTTACGTTATTTTCAATGAAAAAAAATGAACAAAAAAGAATCAATTCTATAATCAAATTTAAAAATTTCAATTAACATCGATAAAAAAAAATTATAACAATTCAATGATAATATAGAGCCCGTCTTCACTACTAGATGGCGAGTACCTTAATCTGTAAACCTACAAGTGGCCAAGTAAAGTGAAAATAAGTACATAAGTCAAACTACGGTCTTGGAAAAGTTGCCGCCGTGTTGGTGATCTACGACATTGATGGGACAGAGCCTGAACAGATATTTTCGTTGAAATGTATGAACAAAATTTCTCTCTCTAAAGTGAGAATGGATATAAGACACATCGTGCATACGGCGATACAGTGTCGGCTTCTCCATAGTCAAAAACGAAATTCTTATAATAGCACGCGTACTCATGATGTGTTATACATACCTCACATATAAATATGAATGGAGATAAGAAAATCGTTGGGGGAAAAAATAAGGGACTGAGTAAGGAAAGTAGGGAAAAATTACGATAGATTCATACGTGCGACGAGTCGAGACAAAAATAAAAAAGAAAAGGGGGAGAAGTTGGTGACTATTTAGCTCGCGACAGCTGCGTAAGAATTATCTTGATTGTCCGTGGAATGCGTGCGGATGCATCGCTCGTCTATAATATTATGCGAGAGTAAAGACCGATTTATTTGCCTATCGCAAACAGTATATAAATGCACGAGTGTACGCGCAGACTCGATCGATAAATATTATACATTTTTATGATCGAATTGCGGCGGAGCGATATTTTTCGTTATTATGAATATCGATAATAAAATCTTAGCGCGCGAGGGCATCTTATGTATCCATAACCATCTTTTTTGATAGACAATAATGATGATATGCAATATCTATCCATGCACAACTTGGTCGCGTCTCGACTCGAAAGTACTCGTACTATACAAGTCTCAACGAGATGAAACTAGAATAGAATACATGGCGTTGCGTGTAATATTCGTATTGTATGCATCGGTATTGTATATCTCGCACGTTCAGTCGTTTTGGAGTCATATTATATGCGTGCGTCTGAGTGTATACGTATTCACGCGAGAAATAACAAATCAATCGGTGTTGGCGCGATTTGCCCATTGTTTATTATCTCGTCGCTCTCTTTCGCGCGCGTAATGTGTGCAGCTTGCAGCTCGTTTCACAAATAGAGCGTGTATAATTTCCATTATATCTTCTCTCTTTCGCTTGATTTTTCAAACTTTTCGATCGAGTAGCGACGAATACACACTCGCATCGCGGCGTTTTGCGCACATATTGTATTACGCGTTAACAGCTGCGTGTATATTTGCGCTTTTGTTCGTTATATCTCGTTGCGTTGCGAGCTGTGCGTATGTAGCTGCTGCAGATCGACCATTTAATCGATGTAAGAGATCGCGACTTACCTTGGCGTTGTCCATATTATTACGCGCATCATAACTCTATAATGTGATTTTACTATCATGATAGAGACGCAACGCCTCTTTCATAATAATATTTTGAAAAGAAAATGGTAATAATTACCAAAGCATATCTCTGGTAGAAATGCTCAACATTTTACGGACTAGTTTTGGGCCAATTAAAATTTTTTTTTGATTTTGAAACTATTAGAACTTGACATGTGCTAACAAAAAATTTAACATTTTTCGCAAAAATACATGTTATGGAACAAATGTACAGGGGCTCAACTGAAATCTCATCGAGCATATTGGCTCGCTGTGAGGTGGCAAAAGGCCGCATACAGAGAAGTTCGAGCTCGGAGGCAGAAATACACCAAGTTAATTTAAAAAAATATATATTTTACAAATTTACTCGTCGATACGCCGATGTTTAACATTATATTACTTACTTGTACATAGGCGCCACAATTGCATAAGTCTTACGTGTGGTATATTACACGTATATAGTTCGTGCATGTGTGCGCAGCGGTCACGCATTAATGCGCGCACCCATTGCGGCTGCAGCAAGAGAGCCAAAGAGAGAGAAAAAGAGAGAGAGACGCCTTATCGTACTTATATAGGCATTTTTATCATAGCACCTGCACCGACTCGCGGTATAATAATCGATCGTTGAGTCTCTCTGCGCGCGAGTATTACACACCTCGTGCGTATACCTATCGCGTAAAGAAAATCCGAAGAAAAAGTACCGGGCGTAATGTGCCGGAGGCCGCAGCAGTGCACTACGATGAAAATTAAAGCGCTGCACTGGCAACTCGTTTATTGCACTCGGGCGCGTGTGCTGCAACAACGTCCATACAGCGCACCGATCGCAGATTACAAATATATATACATATACAAGGGCCTCGTAATAGAGCTTATATACGCGTGTGCGCTCAACGCATCTGATAATATACAACGTATAGGTCGGCGCAGCGGCGACGTGAAACAAGCTCGACAGTCGATACATCTCTCGCTGCTGGCGCCTATATAAAATTACTCGCTGCACTCGCGTGCACGCGTCATTTTATCCTACACATGATGCATTCACCGTAGATATAGGTGCAGCACACGTGTACGTGTGTGCGTGTGTGTATGAGTTAAGTGCACTCGATGTACTATGTATACGTAATATTAAAGGTGACGCAGTATAAGAGGCCAACTATTAGCTGTAAAAAGGCGCCTCCTCGTATTATGCTTGCGAGCTCGCGCCTTTTTCTATTTCATTTAGTTTTTTTTATTTTTTGCTCTCTCTCTCTCTTGCTTCTCGCCGCCGCGTCGTAGTCAATAGAGTCGGCGCCTTCGAAAACAACCGCGTATAAACTATTATATCGTATTATACATATGTTGTAGCATATGGGCACGATTACAACGCTTAATATACAGCGTATATTTCTATTAGTTATTTATGTGATAAATAATTATGTGTTTCGTGCTCGCGTGTATGCCGTTTCTCGCTTGCGGGTCCCCGGCAAAAAAACAAATTTTTACTTTTTTTTTTTACTCGAATGTATATAGTTGTGCGGTCAATGCGTCTCTTACCGCACGCGCACACACACACGTACACATGTCTCTGTATATGCATATCTTATCAAGTTGGACGCTCATCCCTCGGAGTTGCTCGCGCGCCGCTATATACGAGGCACGCACATACACAGAGCGCGCGGATACACATCATTAAGCCACTCTCGCGCCTTATCAGTCCGCTTTGCCGCGTGCTCGCAAAAATGCAGCAGATCGCTACATACACCACCACAGAAACTCGCTCTTCGGATCTCTCGAGAGTCTCTTTTCTTTTTTTCATCGTTCCCCTTCCTTCTTTTTCCATACGCTTATACCTCCTCCTTAACGAATTCGTAGCGCAGCTCATTTGAATATTGAAACCGCGATGCTTAATTGAAACGGAGTCGAAGAAGAAGAAGTAGGAGAGAAATCGGTTGCAGCATAACGCAGCGTGCCATATGGATAACAGTATATAGTAAAAGTTTACTTATGCGTGTAGCATCAGCTCGGTGGTGGTTGTATATAGAGAATTGATGAGCTTTTTTTGGGATTTTTCAACTCGGGCAATCTTATCACTTCTGCCAGAGAAAGAGAGAGAGAGCAATCATTATATATGTATCTCACTATATCCCAACGACGATTCGAGCTGTGTATTGTGTGGTCTTCGTTGTTAATGTATCTTTTTCAATGAGCACCAATGTTTATCTCTTGCTCTTCCCCCTTTTATACTCTGATCGGGATATGTACGCGCGATGCGACGA